ATTCCCAAACTACCAAAGTTTGACACGGTTCGAGTTCAACAAACTCGAACTAGTACCGGATCGACTGCCAACAAATCGATCCACGTGCATCGAGGATGGAAGAATCGAACAGCAGGACCTGGATCGATGACCTGGGCAGCGTTCCACCCTAGATCGATGTACCGGGAAGCGATCTAGGTTGTTCGATTGCTAAACCCGCGAAGCATTGATGAAGCAGATCGAGTGTAGGAAACTCAATGTACATAGATCGAGTCCCTGTTAATCGATTTGATTGACGTGGATCGATGACGTCAGGTGCGCTCTGCCTTCAATCGAGTACCCTAAACTCGATCTAGGCCGTTCGATTGTCGAACTCGCGAAGCAGTTATGACGCGGATCGAGTGGGGGAAACTCGATGAAGGTAGATCGAGTTCCTGGTAATCGATCTGATTGACGCGGATCGATGACGTCTGGCGCGAACAACCATTGATCGAGTACCTTAAAATCGATCTGAGTCGTTCGTTGTACCGAACCTCGACCTACTTTTGACGCAGATCGAGTGCCCCGAAATCGATGCACTGGTTCGATTTATGTAAACTCGATCCACTCTCCCACAAAACCTATAAATACCCCCTCTCATTCCACCAAAACTCACACCACTCCATTCTTCTTCTTCTTCTCTTCCTCCCACCACTCTTGAAGAAAAAAATATGTTTTGTGGTTGCGGCTAAGCCCGATCTTCCGCATCAGATTTTTTTTCTTTAGTTTGGTACTTCTATCACTCAAAATTGTCGAGATGGATCCGAGTATTTACGATCCTAGATTATACATTCAAGGCGGACCGTGAGAAACAGATTTGTTGGATGAGCAACCTTACCATCGATCTGAAAGTGTTTGGGCGGCAGATCCGGTAAGCACTTCCTCATGTACTTTTCTTTTTTTTTTAAATGTGATAGTATTCTTATATTTTTTTTGTATAATAATTAATGTTTTTTTACAGGAACAACTTGACGTAATCACCCATCGGTCGCTATCTCGCTTGCCTAAATGGGATGATCGTATCGAGCCCTTCATTGAAAGAGGATTGCTGAGGGTGCGAAAGTTTGTGGGGATGGAGATGGACAACAACCTTCTTACGGCAATGGTGGAAAGATGGAGAAAAGAAACGCACACATTCCACCTTCTAGAGGGAGAGATGACGATTACGTTAAAGGACGTAGCCATGCTGACAGAGCTTCCAATCGTTGGTGATGCAATAATAGAAAGTTCACAGAAACCATTGAATGGTTGAGGCCAATTTATAAGTGAGCATTTAGGTATCAACATCCATGAGGAAGCACAAGAAGGTCGTCGTGTACCACCTCTACACAAGTCTATGCTATTGATACCTTGGCTAGTGAGGACCGTTGGGGAATTACCGGAGGATGCCACAGATGCTCAGATAGAGAGGTATGCACGCATCTACCTTATTTGTTTGGTTGGAGGATTTTTGTTTTCGAACAAGTCTGGTGGAAATATGCATTGTATGTTGCTTCGAGTTCTTTTGAAAGATTGGGGGAGATTGGGAGAAAAAGTTGGGGATCTGCTTGTTTGGCGATGATATATTCGGAGTTGTGCAAGTGTACAAATCCGAAAACAAAGCAAGCGAGTGGTCCCATGTTCATCCTCCAACTATGAGTTTGGGAGCACCTTCCTACTTTCGCTCCGATCTGCCCTGCCAACAGTTGGGGTCCCGATGAGCCACTACGACAATGGGCTTATGGTGCTAGATGGATTGGAGCTATCACGAGACTCACCTTTCTAGACGGGTACCGCCAACATCTTGACCGTATAGAATTCAACGAGGTAACATTCTAGCTTATGATTATGAATGCTAATTTATTTGTTGAAGTTATTTGTCTTGGCCCATGATTTATTTTTATGATTATGAATAACTTTTTATTTGTTGAAATTATTTGTCTTAGTCTTAGCCTATGATTTATTTTTATGATTACGAATTTTATTATATTTTTTAGGAATTATTTGTCTTAGCCCATTATTTATTTTATGATTATGAATCCTATTTTATTTGTTGAAATTATTTGCTTCGATTTTAATTTATATGTTGTGTTGAAATTTAGGTGGAGTGGGATCCGTATCCGAACGGTGCAAAGGATTTGTACGAGTTGCGATACTCTGAGGATCGTCGACTCTGGTCGTGCAAGTTGCCTGTGATTTGCCACAACATTGTCGAGTGGCACCTCCCGGATAGATGTGTCCGACAATATAATTGGCGGCAACCGATTCCTCTCCCACCACCGGATGTACATAAGTCACTCCACAAGTACAACAAGGATCTGCGGGGTACAATATGCTTCATGAGCTAAGGGAAAGAACGACCCTTCCCAAACTCTAACCACGTATGGAGTCTTGTAGTATGGACTAACAAATATCAAAGGGTCCAAATTAACGCTTCTCGCAGCTGCATATGCATGAGAGCAAGGCAGGTGTCTCCCTTGAAACTTCCCACAAGTACACTCTCCTATTCCATTCTTTGCATCCAGTATAACTGTTTGAGCATTACCACCCTTTGAACTATCTGGTCCACTTCCTGTTACTACTGCGAAGCGGGAATCTCTTCGACTAAATAAAGTCAGCTTATGTCATTTTGCCCTTTCCGACCATGGTTTCATATCATCCGCAATCTTCTTTGGGATGTAGATTCCAACATTCAGCATCTGATATGCTGCTTGGTAGCGTTCAACGAACCATGTCACTGTACGAAAGAAGGTATGCAAGACTATAGATGAGATAGGCATTGCACGAACACCAACATACAAACCATTGAGGCACTCACCCATGTTCGTTGTTGTTATTCCGTACCTATACCCTTCGTCTTGATGTAACGTCCACCTCTCAAAAGGATGAGTTTCTAGCCAATCTGCACCTTCAGAGTGGACCTCCCTTATGCTCTTCATTTTGTCTACAAACTTTCGAGTCTGAAAAGCAATAGCTACAATAAAGCAAAATAAGGTTAGTAAAGGAGTATACGCATTCAACCAATTGATATAATCACAACATCTTATTTGTTCTTACCAGCGTGCCAAACTGCACGTTGTCCATAAGTTCTACCAAAGTGCTTCCCGTAATTGCTTTTGAAATGTCGTATGCACCAGTGCCACTTCCACCCTAGCTCCTCGGGCAGGTCGTAGAAAGCATGTGCAATTCCATGGTGTCGATCAAAAAGTATGGCAATGTCCTTCCGTTGAGTGACACGAGTGTATAGTTGGGGAAAAAATCATGCCCAACTTAAGTTGTTCTCCGATTCGACTATAGCAAAAGCAAGCGGAAAAAGTTGCATACTGCCATCAACACTAGTGGCAACGAGTAGAGTGCCCTTGTATTTGCCGGTCAGAAAGGTGCCATCAACTTGATTATTGGCAGACAATGGGTGAAACCATCAATGCATGGTTTGAATGCCCAAAATAGTCGCTTAAACACGCGTTTAGCACCCCCATAGAAATCTTCGTAACTAGGCACAAAAACAGACCCAAGATTCTTGTCCACTATTGCAAGAATCAAACGAGGCATGTTAGCAAATGACTCTTCCCAATCGCCATACACCTCTGCCCTTTTTGCTTCCCATGCCATGCTTTCATGTAACTGATGGTATAGCCATGTCGATTCTTCACTTCAGCGATGACACTCTTCACGGTGATCCAGGTTGTGCCTCAATCAGATGTTTGATTGTTTGTGCAACTTCCTTGCACTCAATTGTCGGTGATCTAGAGAAATCAGTGATGACCTACAAGTGTGGTTGTTGTCTGTCTTACGAATGAGCCAAGCCCCATTTCTTTTAACATATGCCGCCTGAACATGCCACATGCATCCGTCGCCATGGTTCTCGCAATGAACATGAATTTTTTTAGTGTAAGAAGTGATGACACGATATTGAAAGCTTCTTCGCATAGTAGTTTCTTTCAATGCATCGACCACCTGAGGCTTTCCTCCAAATGTTTGGCCAACCACGAATCTAGAATCAGGAGTCCAGATAGGTATAGGAGGGAGGCCAGGATTGTCGTTGTGAGCATAGAGAGGATGTTGTGGCACCATCGTGTAGTGAGGTGTGGGGGGCTCAAATTCCCCCTCATCAACTTCCAGATCTTCACCATCTGAACTACTCATTGATTCTAACTCTTCATCTTCCACGTCGCTTGCCTCGCTAGTGTACGAATGACTTGGTTTGTCCACATACGGATCATTGTTGATGCCAGATGCTGGTGTAGATGCTTGTCTGGGTGACTGTCTGGGTGCCCTTATGTAATCCCATTCTTCACCCCATACTGGCCACTCCTGTCCGTCATGTTCCACCAATGGACCAATTGCAGTTCGATCCTCGTATGTTGGCCATGGGGCATCATGCAGAACTCTGAAATCTCCTGAACCGGAAAACCCTCCTGATCCTTCACCTTGTTCGGTATAACCGCCGCCACCATATTGGCCAAAAACTTCTGTCTCAACATACACCTTAGCAGTTGGAAATCTGTTCTCTGCAATAAATCTCACCATCATATTAATGTCATTATCGTCAGACAAAACTGATCTTTCATATACAAGTACATAATCCTTGTAAACCGGCATACGGTAAGTCATCTTGCATACTCTTCGCCCTCCAATGCAACATCGTCCCGCACAAATATGACTGAGTTCTTGCCAAGTAAATATGCTCTCAATCCGGACAGTACTTGATTCACCATCTTCGTAGTCAATACTATCATGAAAATGTGTAATTCGACCATTCCACCGAATCTTTAAGTCGAATTTTCAAATTTTTCTACCCATTTCTGCAGTTTATAGAAGCAGCTCATTACATACAGTACAAACAATACTAAATTAATCAAAAATTCTAATATGCTCATTCAAACAACGTAAGCAGAACTTACCTCCAAAAATTTTCTTTTTTGCTCAGCTATGGTTTTCCAGCAACTGTAGTTTGTTTTTGGAAGAAAGAAGATAGAAAGTAAGAGAGCTACCAGAATGTGCTAAGTGATGGCTTTTTATCCTCGTAAACTGATGGAGTGGTTCGAGTCCAAAAAACTCGAACTACACTAGTTCGAGTCCATTAAACTCGATCAAGGGCAACCAATAATTTTACCCCTGCACCCTATTCTGGAGCATGTCAGACCGAAAGTGACTGGACAGAATGATTGAGCAGTGGTTCGAGTTCAGTGTAATCGAACTACCCTAGTTCGAGTCCCTAAAACTCGATCTATGACAACAAAGAATCTTATCCCTACAACCCTATCCTGAAGCATATCGGTTGACCAGTAGTTCGAGCCCATTGGAATCGATTTAGGTTGTTCGAGTTTTAAAGCATCGATCTTGTGCAGATATGGATCAAGTGCTTTAAAGTCGTTTTACTAGATCGAGGTTTTTGGCATCGATCTTGCTGGATCGAGTTATCCAAACTCGATCTACTATGATCGAGTCCTTTGTCATTGGTCTACCTTGATCGATTTCTCCAAAATCGAACTAATGTTGATCGAGTTTTAGGAACTCGATCTGATTCCAGTTCGAGTTCTTCATCGTCGAACTTGATAGTTGTTTGAGTTTATGGGACTCGAACCATTTGAAACTTGGATAATTTGGGAAAAGTTTATAAATCTTATGTATTACGGGAATTATGTTTAATTTTTACTGTATTCTGGGAATTCTTCCGATTTCTTTTCTTTTGTTTCCTTTGCTTCTTCCGCTTTGGGGGACCAATCCTTTTGATCTTCTTTGCTTTCGTTTGTACAGTTTTGTGTTAGTTTTCTTATTGCAATAAGATCATTGCCATTATCAAAAAGTAATTGAAAGTAAATTTGTTACAGATTGGGGGGTAGTGCCTTCACAGCTAGTCTACTTTTAGAATTTATTGCAATTTTTATGTGTAAATTTATCAAAATTTAAAAGTTGAAATAAACAACAGCCTCCCTTGCGCTTAACGTGCGGCTGGTGGGGGTTATTGAGTTCAGACTTCAATCTTCAATTGAGATGAATTCCATTCCATTCCATCCCTACTACATCACACCCGCCAATCCAACATTATGAATGCGTCCAACAACTTCAAACCAAAACAACGACTGCAAATGCCTTCAGCAGCACAATAGCGCAATTGCTGTTATCCAAGTCAAAAGTGAAAGACACCCTCTCTCTCTCTCTCTGACCTCTGCACCTCTCTGTGTTCTGAAATTGAAGCGGAAGTGAACAGAGAGCAGCAGCCTACCGACCTACTAATGGCTATTTCCCTCCACCATTCCCCATGTTTCCTAAAAGAAAAATTATAATGAAATTGAAAACAGGCACCGCCCATTTTATCAACTTAACCCACAAACTAAAAAACGACAACTACTACTGAATTCAGTAGAGATATATAATTAATTATTAATTAGTTAAAGCAGAATTAGCAGATAGAGGGAGGAGGAAACCCCGGAGGAGCCAAAAGCCAAGCCACCCTCCTCCTCCCCATCTTGGATCTAGCGTTCTGTTTCTCTCCTTTTGCCACCCATTTGATTCCCTTCCCAACTTTGCTTTACTTTACCGTAAACTCATATCGGCACAGACAGAATTCACCAAGAAGGAGGAGGAGATTCATCTTTCCAACTACAAACAGAACATTTCCTCGACTGTATTATCCAAAATTCAACAACACAGGGAAAACCTTAAAGCTCAAGAAAATGAAATATTCCTTCTCCCGATCTGAATCACCTCTGTCATCCTCTTCCTCAAATTCGTAATTGCAATGTTCACAAATTCCGCAAAATGTTTACAGATCCCCCCCAAAGATCAAAAGATGAAGAAAACAGGACAAACCCAGAAAAGCAAAACAGACCCAAACGAGCAATGGGAAAAAAGAACAAAGAGGAGGTTACAAGAAGAAGAAGAAGGAATTAAGATGGGAGCAATTTGAGTAAAAGGGTGGGGAAGAAATAAGAAGAAAAAGAAGAAAAAAAAACAGTAATTGGATCCATGACTATGAAAGCTTACTCAGAAAGTGACCTTCCAGATCTTGATTCTCAGATCCACCTTACACTTGGACCCAGCAGTTACAGCAACAGAGGGAGGAGCCTTACCTTTCGGTACCGTCCCTTTAATGTCCTCACAGGTGACCCGAATCCCAACTTTCTTCGTCTTCACCTTCCCCACCTTCACAACCACTTTGGTGTCCAGCTGAATCTTGAGCGCCGCCACTCCATTCCTCTTCTTCAGATCCGATCTGAGCCCGTTCACCGACTCCGCGTCCACCTCGTTCGACCCGGACACCACCACGTTCCTCAGGCTCGTCTCGTTCTTCTTGCTCAGCGAGAACGCCGGGAGGGTCCCGTTGCCGAGGAAGACGTCGCCGGAGGAGGCGCTGACGGTGAATGGGTCGTAGAAGAAGGAGAGGTGGGAATTGGGGTTCTTGGCGATGACCGTGAAGTTGAGGAGCGTAGAGACGTGGGACGTGGCGGAGTCGGCGGCGGTCGTGAGATTCAGGCGATGGATTCGGAGGGACGGGATCGAGAAGGCCGGGCGGTGGGGGCGGTAGAGGGTGTACAGCGCGGCGCCGGCGATTGCGGCCACCAGGAGGAGCAGGAGGATCACGAGAATTGTCCAGAAGCAGCAGCAGCAGCAGATGCTCCTCCCGCTCCGCGTTCGGCGCCGTCGGTTGTGGGGCTGGGGGCGGTACGGCAGGCGTGAAGTTGGGTTGTAGAGGTGGGATTTGTTAGTGGCGGCAGTTGGGTTGGGGACGGTGGTGGCGGCGGCGGCCGGGGCGGCGGCGGTGCCGTTGGTCCCGGCCGTGCCATTTGCCGCCGGTTTCGAAGCTGGGAATACTTTCTCCGACATTTTTTGGGCGCTCGCTAGTTGAAACGGAAGGCTGCTAGCTAGAGTGGAGGATTAAGATTGTGAATCCAAAGCGAGGAAGGGCAGAAGAAAAGGGGAAATGAACGAAGAGAAGTAAAGAAGAAGAAACAGAGCAGAGAGAGAGATGGGAAGTCCCGATCTAACCACAGGGGGAGGAAAGGAGATGCTTACTGCATACCCAATTCTCGAATCCGAAAAATCACCTTTCTCTAATTATCATTTTTTGTAGAATTCTTTGTTTATTACTGATATTTTCCCTTTTCTTTTATCGCCGATCCAGGCAACTTCAGCGAGCGGTCATTATTTCAGTTTTTAGTTTTACCATAATATACTAGTACTCGTAGAGATGGAACCACAGACTTTCCCTAAAAAGAGATGAAATCAGAAAAAGTGACCGTACGATTAAAATTTAAATATACAAAGTGGTATGATTTGATCGAATAGAATTAAGGTTGTCAACTCTCGAGTTGATTTGTCATGTTTACCCGTTTTAATTTTGACCCGGTGAGAAAAATGGGTCATACATATTCGTCAAGTCGACCTATTGTAAAGTTGTCGGTTTTGAGGTCACACGGTATGATTTTTTCCTTTGATTTGAGAAATGCGCCTATTTTCGGTTTTCCTCTTCGTCAAACTCTATCTTTGGAATTCTTAAGTTAAAATTTGAAACTTGATGTTATATAAGTGTGTGAATTTTCAATAAATGTTGGATCCAAGTACAACATGTTACTTTGGTGTAAAGTTATTATGTTATACTCATTTGTTGGATGATATTTGATGTAATTTATAAATGTATGAACAATATAATGAATTTTTCATATATTCGGGTTAAATCAGGCTAAAGCAAATGAATCAATCCACTTGCTCAACCGGGCTAATGGGCTAAACCGGGTTTGACAACTGTTAGGCCAAGTATTGAGGCACATGGGCCCCCAAGCCCACAGAGTCATCAAAAGCCCATAAAAGAAGAAAGCCCACCCAAGCAGGGGCAAAAACACAGACTGAAGGCGGTCTCCGTCAGTCCTCGGAGGAAACCGCCCGACATTCTGGCTTATCGGGTCAAACGAACCGCCCGACACTACAACCTAACATACTCCTGTCCTTCCGGTATGGAGTCTAACAAAAGACATGATCAGGGTGAGCATTTAATAAAGCCAGAGGCGACCTTGACCGCCCGACAGACTATTAAATGCGCACACCCTGCCGCAACTAGTATAAATACCCAATGATAGGGCTCATTCATGGTAACTTCACTTTACTCCATTCTCTCTCCAATTCACTATCATTTCACTTCTCTCTCTAACTTAAGCATCGGAGGAGGTCCCAGGATCACCCTGGTGGCCTTTCTACAGGATTTCGGAGACCGCCCTCGACCATCGAAAGCCGCCCGAAGCCGGTGGAGTCTCACAAAACCGCTTGGAACAATCCAGGCTCAAACATTTTGGCGCCCACCGTGGGGCCCCACGACTTCGAGGCGAACGAGATGGGAGACGACTTCGAAACCCCCCTTAAGGGGATGACCGAAAACAACACTCGCCGTGGATTGTCACCGTCTCACCGAGAGTTGAAGATGAAGCCGAGCTGGAGGAAGTGGTCAAAAGTCAAGGAATGCAAATCGCGAGCATGCAGGACAGCCTTTCACAAATCCTCCAACTTCTAAAGACGCGAGACGACCCAAGCGAGGGATCCAGGGGAAGGACGCGAGACGAGAAGCAGAAGGGCGCTCTTCCCCTTGACATCCCTGCTCGGACAGAAGGCGGAGGGCTAGAGGCCGATGACCCAGATCTCAACTTCCTCGAGGAGCACTTGCGGTCGACATTCGGGAAGCACAAAAGCCCGAACGTTCTCCAAAATCCTTTATCGAAGGAACTCTTCAAGACTCCGGTCCCTCCCAACTTCTCATCTCTGGGACTACCTACTTACGGCGGGACTTCCGATCCCGCCGACCATCTGTGTGCATTCATGCTAAAAATGCAACTTATCAACGCGACAGACTCGGATCTATGTCGCGCGTTCCCCGTTACCTTCAGCGGTCAATGCCGCACATGGTACACCTCCCTCCCGGAAGGGATTATAGAGAGCTTTGAGCAGTTTGCGATGCTCTTCTCCACTAAGTTCGCATCTCAGAGACGTCGCAAACTCACTGTCTCAGCACTCATAAACTGCAGCCAAAGAAAGGATGAACCGCTTGCGGAGTTCTACGATCGGTGGAACGCGATCGCCTGCGAGATAGACGGCATCTCCTCGGTCGTGGCCGCCGGGAATCTCCGAATCTCAACAACTAGTATCGAGCTAAAAAGAACTTTGATAAAAAAGGAGGCGACCCTAACGACCTGGTCCGACCTAGACCAATTGGTACGACGGGCTATCCTATTGGAGGAGGCCCTAGCCAATGACGACCGAGGCCAACAGGGTCGTCCACGTGGAGACGCCTCAGAGCGTGGAGATCCCCGGAGGGGAAGGCGGTCCCCGGACCGAAGATCGTATCGAAACAAGTACACCGATCGAGATGGAAGAAGAGACGTCCTTTCCACTGACCGAGAAAGGGGAAGAGATCGAAAGAGAGGCGGAAGGAAGTACGAAGCATCTTCCACTCAGGAACAGCATAAAGGAAAGGAATGGTGCGACTGGCATCAAATCACAACTCATGACACCGCAGAGTGTAGAGAGTTTAAGGCCACTCTTCGGCATTTGGCCCCGGGAGACCTGAGAAGCAAGTTGGAAACAAGGCGGTCTCGAGGTGAACACTCGCCAGACGTACGAGATGAGTCTCCAAGCCCTGAACAGGACAAGACGAGGCAGACAAGAAAGGAAAGATTCAGATCCCGTTCGAGAAACAAGGTTGCCTCTCCTCTGAGGCAGTCTCCCCTCTATAGAGCCCCCCGGAACGAAGATGACGGGATGGAGATCATAACGATCGCAGGAGGACGTAAGCGCCCAAGGACCGAAGGAGACCGCCTCGCTCAATGCCTTCACGTGCAACGGGGAGCGCCAACAGAGGTCACTTTCCAGCCCTCTGAGTTAGCCAACGAAGAAAACTCGGAAGACCCCTTAGTCGTTTCCTTCCGAACCGCCAAATTCAAAGTCACTCGAGCTCTAGTCGACAACGGGAGCTCCGCTGACATCCTATTCTACTCCGCGCTCAAAGGAATGAAGAAGAACGTCCAGGACCTCCAACCGTCCAACACTAGCCTTGTGGGGTTCTCAGGAACAAAGGTCCGCGTCCTCGGGTCAATCATCCTCAAAGTTACCATAGGAGAAGGCGGAGTCACAAAAACGCGCCCAGTGGAATTCCACGTCGCGGACTGCCCTTCTGCCTACAATGAAATCTTAGGTTGCGGATTCCTCGCGTCCTTCGAAGCGGTCGCCTCTACATGCCATCAAATGTTGAAATTCCCAAGCGGGAGTCTGACGGGGCGTGTCCGGGGCAACCCCAAAGATGCCAAGGAATGCTACCAAGCGACAATTGAGCATCTGGAGGTGGACCTTGTCGATGCAAGAGGCGACGTACCTCGTCCTGAGGCGGTCGAGGGAGATATAGCGGTCCCTCTCAAAACCGTGCGCATCTCGACTCACTTAGCCAACAAGGAAGCGCAAAACTGCTATCCCTTCTCCGAGAGTTTCAAGACCTCTTCGCATGGGGTCCAGAAGACATGCCTGGCGTCCCACGCCGCGTCTCCGAGCACCGACTCTCCGTCAAACCCAAGGCAAAACCCATACAGCAGCGGAGGAGACACTTGTCTGTGGAGAAACAAATGGCACTCGAGGAGGAGGTAAGACGCCTTCTCAAAGCAGGCTCCATGCGGGAGGTACAATACTGACTCGACTCTACTGTCACTCCAGGAATTGGCCAAGTGAAACCACTTCCTAAAGCGTAGTATAGCGGGTTTGGGTTTAATTATCAACCCGGGTCCTAGATATGATGACTACTCAGTGAATTCTTGTTATCTAGCAATGAAACTGGAATGCAAGTCTAACTAACAAACTAACAAAGCAAGTAAACTGGTTGTATTCAAGTTAAGAGAGGTCACCCGGATATGGTTCCCCCTAGACTGCAGTTAAGCCGGATTGTAATTACCAAGTTCAGTTTCTATGAAGATTATACTGCGGAAGGTTCTTAAACAGCCTGAAGTCTCGACTAAAGGTCTTCAGACCCTCTCAATTTGAATCTCTAGCGGGCGACTAACCTCCACCTGAGTAGACAGATTGAGGCCCTAAGAACAAAACCTCCACTACCGGAGTAAATCTGGTACAGAATAGTGAGTTGGCTCCTCGACTAAAGTCACCAACTCCCTACCTTCAATCAAGGATACTCTATTAACCTAGGCAGATATTCTCATTCTAGGTTAAAGCAGAAACAACAGGAATTTGATCAGGATTCAAGTCATTCAATCATTAAAACCTCAATCGAATATAATCAATCACAGAATCAGTACTTGGGTTCATACAATCAAAGCCTAACATACAAATCTAGGGTTCTCCATACCCAGATGAATGGGAGAACTACTCCATAGAGAAGAAAGCAAAAGCAGAATCAGACACGGAATTCATACTACGAAGGATGGATTCCTGCTTCTGGACGTTGATTGGCACTTCTCCAAGCTCAAGCTGGCCTCCAATGGTGTTGAAGATCAATCTAGGGCACTTGGAGACTCTTGTTCGTCGCTTTCTCTCTCTAGAAATCGATCTCTTTCTCAAAAACCCGAATCCTCCCGAATTGTGGCTGAAATTCTGCTTAAAAGGAGAAAATCCCGACTCACACGGCCAGGGTGGCACGGCCGTGCAGCTCACCCAGTTGCCCGTGTGAGTCAAAACGCATCGTTTCATTTAGTTCGAATTCCAGGCTCTTTGCACGGCCAGAATGGCACGGCCGTGTGGACATCCCCTCTTGCCCGTGTTTGCTCTCGCAGAATGTGGCACGGCCAACCCGGCCACTTGCACGGCCGTGTCGATCCTCTGCTCTGCCCGTGTGTGCTCTCGGCAAAACTCGCACGGCCAGGCCATTACTTCACACGGCCGTGTGAATATCACGGCAGCCCGTGTGACCTCCTTTGTGACTTGTCTCGCGCCCGATCTTCACCCAATTGACCCCGAACTCGCTCCTAAACCTTCATTCACTTGCCAGGACCTGAAATATCACAAACAAGCACAACCTAGCGTGAAATCGGTCTAAAACACGAGAAACCACCTCTCAAACGGTGTAAGAACAGGGGTGAAACATGTGTAACTAACGGTCTATCAAACTCCCCCACACTTAACCGTTTGCTTGTCCCCAAGCAAACCTAACTCAAACCAATGCAACTCTCCATACCTCTATAGCAACAAACAACCCAGATCGTAGGTAGAGGACTTCCTAGATCATTTAGCAACTTACGAGGTCAACTGACGCACAAGTCATCTCATAACTTCTTCGGCGAGTCGGCATAATGGAAAATAGTGAACAGAGGACAAATGAATCGTGGATGAAGAGATTCTCAAAAACAAAGGATCATGGACTCACATTTTTCAAGGTGCTCTATTTTCTTTGAAGATGGTTGGAACCCCGTTTCTTTCTGTTTTGCTTGTTTTCTGTTATTTTTTTCTTTTCTTTTCTTTTCACGGGTCCCAACCTGCTCTTACCGGCCATGCCAGGAGCGGATGTCTCGAGCCTCGTGCGGGGGAAAGACATGTAAGGGGGCTGGAGGTAGTAGGTGGAAATTGGGAACGAATTCCCGTCTCCCCTTACACTTTCGCCCTATTCGCACGGGAGACGTTATTTTGAAGCACATTTTCGAGCACCTGTTAAACTCAAAACATGATACAAGAGTCCATGACAGGCAGAGAATCCACAACACCACACAATTCAAGGGTCCTAAGATCACTAATTCACTCAATCAACCAACACAATATGAAGAAGAAATGAGACTTCTTAAATGCATCAACATCCTCCATAGTGCTACACTACCTCCCTAGGTTGCATATTACTATAAAGACTGTCAATTCAAAGCATACTGAGCAGGCAATTGCAAGGAACACGTACTTGGAGCCCTCAAATTTTTAAAAAATTTGGACAGTGGACCAGGCTCCAAGCACACAAACAGATCTAATGCAGTCAAAAGATAAACATCCCCCCACACTTAAGATCGACATTTCCCTCAATGGAGAAGAGGGAAGGATAAGGGGAACGATGTTACCGGTATGCACGGACTGTAGGGGACTGGAAGCGGGCCAGTCGGGGCAAGCACAGCCAAAGGAAAACAGAAGAGCTCAACACAGTATGTTAGGTCCAATGGTCATCCCAATAAAACATCATCCAAACCAAAAGAAAAACAAACCAAACCCAAACCGGGTTACAATCCGACTCAAAATATAAGAAAGAAAATCAAACCGTGGTGGGGTTGCCTCCCCACAAGCGCTTCTTTACCGTCTTTTAGCTGGACGACCATGGTGGATACTCAGGGCGGTGCATGAACAGGTGCCTCCAAGAGCGGATCCACGTCGCTATTGAGGTACAGCTTCAGGTTGTGGCCATGCACTCGACGGATGCGACCACCCTCATCAGTCAGCTCGACCTGCCCATCTGGCAAGATGCAGGCGAGTGAGTACCCGGACGTCCAGGGTGGTCGTGGTGCAGGAGGTGCGACCAGCTCATAGTCCATGCAGGCTTAGCAACCTGCTGCTTCGGCCCCACTCCTCCTTGAGCTTTTTGTTCGGAGGCGAGGCTGGATGGAGTGGCGGCGAAGGAATGATAGGAGGGTCCTGCAAAATAGGAGGTGCAGAAGGGTACACGACAGACTCGTGTACCTGATCAGACATAGCATGCACAGGCGTGACAGCAATCATAGCACAGTGATCAAACTCAGTCACAGAAAAAGTAGCCTGTTCATCCCCAGCACGCAAGATCAACTTACCATCATGCACATCAATTAGTGCCTTAGCGGTGGCAAGAAATGGCCTACCTAGAATCAAGGGCACATCCACATCCTCATGTATATCAAGAATAACAAAATCAACAGGATATGTGTAAGCACCAACACCAACAAGCAGATCCTCTATGATTCCCCTAGGATGCACAATAGAACGATCAGCTAATTGAATGCTCATCCTAGTAGGGCTAAGTTCACCTAGGTCTAGCATTTTATACAACTTATATGGCATGACGTTGATGCTAGCGCCTAGGTCCGCCAAGGACTTTCCTACATGCATGCTGCCAATAGTAAGAGGGATAGTAAAACTCCCTGGATCCTTGCGCTTCTCGAGCAGCTTGTTCTGCAGGATAGCAGAACACTCCTCGCTCAGCATCACTGTCGAGAGATCCCCAAGTTTCTTCTTGTTGGTGCAGATATCTTTCATGAACTTGGCATACTTGGGCATCTTCGACAGTGCCTCCATGAACGGTATGCTGATATTGAGCTGCTTCAACATTGCCATGAACTTGGCAAACTCAGTCTCCAGCTTGTCCTTGTGTAGGCGAGTGGGGAAGGGAAGCTGGGGTACATGCTCCTTAACCACTGGTTGTGGCTTGGGAGCAGGGGCTTCTTTCTCCACCCGCACTTCTGCATCGTCGGCTGGAAGTGCTGAAGCAGGCAGTGGTTCCTCCTGTCTGGCCGGGACAGGATCAGCAGATATGGTCTTACCGCTCCTGGTAAAAATGGCATCCAGCTGCTGATGCTGGTGAGGATCTCGAGGATTCGGAACAGTGGTGGCAGGCAGAGTCCCCGGTGCCCTGGTAGTGTTTTGGCGGGCCAAGATGCCCACCTGGGTCTGCAGATCCTGCAAAATGGCACCCTGGTTCCTCTGACCTGCCTCCAGTGAGGCTACACTCTGGTCCAACCTCGTGATAGTCGCCAGAGTGCTCGTCATGAATGAAGCTAGAATGTTTTCCAGCTTCGTCATCCTGTCATCTGGGGCTGGAGCTGCTGCTGGCTCGGCAAACTGGCGCTGGGGCTGCTGGAATGGCTGCTGTGGAACTGGCCCCTATCGAGCCTGGTAAGGCTGCCTCTGCTGAAAACCACCTGCTGGTGCTGGGAAACCAGGTGGTTTAGTGGTGTTGCTGCTCCAGGCAAAGTTGGGATGCTGGCGCCACCCCTCATTATATGTGCTACTGTATGGATCGAGGCGCCTCGCATTGGCGATGAAGGCCAACTGCTCCTGGGGTGTGGTAGACTCCCTCATAGCCTGGCAGTCCTCCACTAGGTGATTGGAGCTCTCGCACCACTGACATTGAGCTACTGGAGGTGTAGCCAAACCTCTGCCCGGAATCAGACTGTTGGGCTGCTTCAATGTCTGCACTAGCTCAGCTACCTGCTGCTCGAGCCCGGATCTGGTCTCCATGGCGTGCACACCACGGTCCCGGGACTGTCTGCCTCGACTACCCTGTCCCCAAGAATGATCTCTGGCAGCCAAAGTACTGATCATCTGGTTCAGCTCGGGTGGAGTCTTGGTAAGAATATCCCCTCCTGGGCATAAAGACTCAATCACCCTCTGGCTATCTGGGGAGAGAGCGCTGTAGAAGTTCCCCACAGTGAAAGCATCACTAAAGCCATGGTGGGGGCACTGCCAGAAGTAGCCCATGTACCGCTCCCAAGCATCACGGAGTGACTCATCTGGCTCCTGGCGGAAGTGAGTGATCTCCCGCTGAATCTCTGTAGTCTTCGATGCCGGATAGTACCTGTGCACGAACTTGTCCGCCAGATCGTCCCAAGAGGTGATGGACAATGGGGGCTGGGTCTCCAACCACCTCTTAGCATTCCCCGCCAGAGAATGGGGGAAGAGATGAAGGCGGATCGCATCATCGGGAACACCGTTCAGCTTGAACCCGTTTGTCAGCTGCAGAAAACGGGACAGATGTACCCTGGCCTCCTCATCCTTCAAGCCATGAAACTGGATCGAGGATGTGATGAGCTGAATCCAGCATGGCTTGATCTCGAAGTTGTTTGCTGGGATCGGCGGGTAGAGGATGACCGGGCGGATGTCAGCAATCCGAGGAGTGTAGTAGTACTCCAAGGTGGGACCCGGCTGCGGTGGATGATGAACTCCATGGTCCTGGGGTATGGGGTTGTTCCCCAGGACCTGATTCACCGGGGGAACCTGCTGTGGATTCCCCTGGTGTTGGTTGTAGTCTCCGTCCATCCCGTGCTCTTCTTCAGAATCGCTGCTCAGGTGGCCGTCTATGCGCTCTTCCGTAGCCAGTCTAGCTCGCTGTTGTCTCCTGAGCTGGCGACAGGTGCGGTCAATCTCTGGATTCAACGGCAGTAAACCTCCCGACTAGCTACGGGTC